CCATAGATCCTACATTTATTCATTAATATTTTATTTTTTTAAAATGTTTATATTTTCTATAAAAATAAAAAGCACAAAGAATTCACATATTTATTATGTTATTAAAAAATACTAGTATTTGACATTTATTATTTTTTATTAAAAATACTAATGGAACACAAAATAATAATATTTTTTTTATAAATTTCTATAAAATGCTATAAAATTCAACAAAATGAACTATAATACTTTTTAAAGTAACAATATGCCTAAACAACTAAAAAAATCCAACAACATAATTATGCTTAAAAAACTATACTTCATCAAAACTAATAAGGGATAATAAACATAAAGGAAATGACTAAAAAACCTAATCTAAAATATATATATTAAATTAACTATATTAAAATAATAGGCGGGGCGGGGTCCCTGCGGGGCGGGGGGTGTATTCCCCGTCCCCGTCCCCGAAATGCTCTCGGGGGAATTTTTCTCCCCATCCCCGCCCCCACGGGGGAAAATTCCCCATCTTTGGGGCCCCGAACGGGGCGTTCCCCGCGGGGATCCCCATTAACAGGTCCAAACTGACATCCCTAATGGGAAGACACCTTAGAAGCTACCCTCATGTCAGGTTCCCGGATCATGAGGACTTACTAAGACATCCTCTACTCGACGATCACCTTTCGAAAGGCAACAGTGAGGCGTACCCTAGGGGTGGTGTGTGAGAATTGTGTGTCGTTTTCATTTGATATTTTGTCTTGTCATGTTTGCTGTGATCTACGCTTGATTTTAATTAGGGCCATTCATTCTTGCATGCATATTTGTTAACAGTTATAAAGTTTGCGGGAAAAATAAATTCTAAACTATTACAAATGGCGCGGGTCCACATCGCCAAAATTAAACCGGACCCGATTTGACAGAAAGATAAATAAAGCGAATAAAAGTGCGAGAAATAAAATCGTTACAACGCTTTGGGAGAATTACATAATGAATTAAAAGAAAGAATAAATAAAATGCGCGAATTAAATAAATTACGAATGCGGGCGTTGGACCCTTTTGCAAAAATATTTAAAATTAATAAGGCATTAAAAATAAAAATTAAATGTTTTTGGTATTTTATGTTTTTTATGATTTAAGAGAAGAAAGAATTAATTAAAACAAAAAATTGGAAAAAAAACCCTAATTCCAATTGTTTTTTAAACTTATTAAAAATGTTGAAGTTTTTTAACCTAATTTAACCTAAGTTATTTATGTACAATTAATTTATGAAAATAAATAAAATAAATATTATTATTGTAAAAAAAGGGAATTAAAAAGAATCAAAATTAATTAAACCTATTTCTACATATTTTTTGTATTTTTATTATGAAAAGAATTAACAATAAACCCTAATTTAAATTAACTAATTTACATGCAAATTTGTTATGAAAAATAATTAAGATAAAATAAATATTATATTTTTGCCTTTTCTGTTTTTTAGGATGTTTTTGTATATTGTAAAAAAAATAATTAATTAAATAAACAGTAATTAAAATAAAAATAACAATTAAAACAAGAATAAATAAAAAAAATAGTGAAGGCAAACCAGGGGGGGTAGCCCCAAATTGGAGGTTTTGGTTCAGCAAATCAGGCCCAATAGCTCTGGATCCATTGACTTTTGCCAGTTCGTGTGCTAGCGCGTTGACCAGCGTTTACCATAGGCCTGGAATCTGAGCCCTTGATCTGCATCTCCTGGACGCGTGGACAATGATCTTTGAGCGTGCATGAAGACCTTCAATGGAAGCGCTGCATAGGAATTTGCATTAAAAAATAATATTGGAGATTACACAGACCTGGGACTCGAACCCAGGTCTTGGACATTGCAAGCGACACCTGTGCCACTGAAGCACTTCAACATATTTGATATATAAACAAACAATGATTAATAAAAAAGAAAAGAAAAACGTTAGTGGATCCGCGCGCCATTTTTCAAACGGACCAACCATTCCTTGCCACGACTCCGTCTTCTTCGTGTGCCTGAAAACAAAAACATGAGGCAACGGTTTTGCAAACGTTGCCTAAGGCCATAAACCAGAAAATAGCGAATAGTCCCTCGACGCTCATAAATTGAGCGCGAGGGTGGGGATCTCTTCGTCTGGACATGCTGAGTCTGATGGCAATAGTCTTGAGGCTTAATTTTTTCTTATTACAAAAGCCCCAAATTTCAGTCCTGCAAACCCTAGAACACGATCATGGCATTTTGGCCTAGAGCGCGTGAAACTTCAATTGAAATACATGATTAGGTTGTAAATATCATCAGAAACACAAACATAACAATAAAATATGGGGAGAATGCATGAATATTAAAAACCGATTCAAGATTTTCCTTCACCAATTTCCATGGTGGTCTTACGTTTTCTTGAGTGTGAAGCTTGGAGAATGACTGGGATACGTCCTATGAACCTTCAGCAATCTAATGGGATAGGAATTAAGCCTTGAATCAATCTAAAAAGCAGTTTTCAGTTTTGAACTTTTTGGAGAAATTTTAAGTTTCACAAAGGCTTTTCTTGCGCAGTTTTCAGTCTCTAAGGCTTAGGGTTGTATTCCTGATTATGTATAGAAGCAATTAGGTTAACAAATTTCAACAAAAATCTCTTGTAATTATGGATTGAAGATTTGATTTTTTTTTCATTATATTTTCAATCTTTTTCACATGGTTTTTGTGCAAATTATGATCAATTCAATCCAATTCTTCCTAATCAGTATGTGCACGAAATATTGACTTTGAAATGTGTACAAAAAGATTTGTTTGGTTCATTTAGATATTTTTCACACATTTAATTAATTTAATTTAATTAATATAAATAATAATCCAAATAAATAAATAAAAAATGAGAAAATGCTTCCCTTTGGGCCAAGTGGTCGTGCATAGGCTTGGAATGATGAATCATGGAAGAAAATAGGCCCATTAGCAATTTTAGACCATTTGAATCAAAGTTGACTTTTCAAAACATCCAAAAATTTCCCAACTTCCACAAGGCATAACTTGCTCAATTTTTAAGCTTTTCACATGTTCTTGGACATTTTGGAAAGGTCTTTGAGTCCTTTAACCAATGCCTTTGGTCCCATGTCATTTTTATTTACCAATCTCAAGTTATGGCCTTTGACTTAAAGTCCCTTTTTGTTGACTTTTGAAAATGACCTATAATGTTGAAATTGATAACTTTTTGTGAGAGCATTTCTTGGACTTGGAATATGAAGATGAGTTGTAGGAAATGTCTTTCTATTCAAAATGAGCTTTGGATGGAATTTTTCTGATAATCCATGTGAAAGTTATGCCCTGGTCAATTTCAGTTGACTTTTTCAACTGTCCAAATATAGTAACTTTTGCATCTTTGATGATTTCTGAGCCAAATTTTGAGAATCATGATCAAGCATTGATCAAATGATGTTTGTGGCTTCAAAATGATATGTTGACCAAAAATTTGAACTTTTGACTGTCAAATGACCATTTTGCCCCTACAGTTGACTGTAGTGCAATCTAGGGTTTTGACTGTGCAATTTTGAACTGAATGCTTTGAAACTTGATATGAGGATACTTGACCATCTTTGCAAGCATATGAGACTTGATTGGGCCTTTGAAAACTTCCTTTCTTTGATCAGAACACAAACCCTAGTTTTGACTGTATAGGAGACAGTTGCACTGCATAACCCTTGGGGAATTTTGTGACTTGGCTTGGCAATTTCTTGAAGAATATGGGAGGGCAAATTTTGGGGTACAACACTTCCATCAAACACCACGACGATACAGATCCACAAACACTCAACCACAATCACTACCTCAATACCAATACACCCATATGCCTCACACTCACATCCAACCCCAAAACCAATCTCAATACCAATACACCAATATGCCCCATACCCAACCCTAATATCAATCTCAATACCAATACACCCATATACCCCACGCACAATTCCAGTCTTCTGAACATTCCGATGCGGGTCCCTCATCATCTCACCTTAGCCAAGATCTAGGCTTTCCTGAAGAATATAACCCAACCGACCCAACTTACCAATCAACCACCACATCACCATAACACCCAACAATCGCAATACCAAACACCCAAGATTCATTTTCTTTTTACCCCCTTACTAAGACGACCAGTGCTATAGACCATCCATGAAACCCCATCGCCACCAAGATGACCAAACTTTGAGGGCATGAATAACCGACTGTACCATAGTGAATCTTCCAAATATGGTGATCTGACAAATTTCATGGATCTTGAACGCATTGACTTCGCTGGGCCATCGATCCAACCACAACAAGAAAATCAACGAAACTCACCACGAGATAGGCGACGACGCGGGTGCGGGACCACAGGTCCTTACCGAGTTTCGGGGGACAACTAAATCATATGCATGGTTTTTTTTTCATTATGTAATTGTTCATTTGTTAATGAAAAATCAAAGTTTCATTAAGCTATATCGTTTACTTATTGTCTCTTATTTAAAATAGAAAATAAAAAAATTAGGAGTTAAAAGCACTTAAGAACCATCTGAGATGACTTAGGACAAACACGTTGCACATATGCACCATCTCACTTGACGTCTCCATATAAAATTAAAGAGGGTGTGCCATCTCACTTGTTACATCTATTTAAATATTTTCTGAAACATGATTATTTGCATATTTTCTTTAAAACATGATTATTTGTGTTTTTTTTAATACCTTATTATTACTAAAAAAAATTCACTAATTTGTATTATAATATTGAGAAATATTAAAGGATAAACTTGAATAGTGAAAAAATATTTTTATTTCTTCTTCACCTTCCCCTCCTATTTCTACCATCGTTCTTCAACCTAATCTGTTCATATTTTTAATCTTTTTTCAAGAAAACTTCATCGTAGCGGCCGTGAAACTCCGCGTGCGCCGTGTTCTTCTTATGAAATTCACTTCCGGCAGCCGCACCTGGCATCACTGTAGCGTCCGACCGCCGCTCCGATTTCGGCCGCGATTAACCACCTAGGTAATCATTATGTTGAATGTTCCATTTCAATTTCACAAGCCTGTTACTTGTCTCCTCAAACTCGGTTACTACTCTTTTCTTACTCACACAAATCTTTGTCATAGGAACTACCTTAGTAACACCGTTGTTTTCTTGTCACATCAACCAAATCATTCTGTTACCTCAATTCGGTCTTTAGGGTTTCATAGTGTTGACATTGCTCTTCCTCAACAAAAACATGATTATCTTGATGATGTTTTTAATGATTTTGATGAAGGAAGAGAGGAATTGTGTTCATATTTTGTGTCAAACAAGAAATTGTGTCCGATGGAAGATGATGTTGATGTGTCTTTTGTGATGGAGAATGATTCGGAATGTCATGGTTCGAAAGAATTGGGATGTGTGAATGAGAATGAGGCTATGTTTTTGGAGGAAATGGATGTGAATGTTTTGTCGAATAGGATTGTGGAGCTTAGTAGAACTAACCAGATTAGAGGTGCAATGGAGTATTTTAGGTCGATGAAATCATTTGGGCTTTGTCCGAATATCCATGCCTGTAATTCTCTTTTGTCTGGTCTTCTGAGAAACGGGTCGTTTGATGACTGCTTTAAAGTGTTTGATTTTACGAAAGCGAAAAGGATAACTACGGGGCATAGTTATAGTTTGATTCTTATGGCATGTGCGAAAGCTCGAGGATGTGATTCGGCTGTTGAGTTTTTCAGGAAACTGGAAAGGGATTGTGATGTAGGGAGAGATTTTGATGTGGTTGTTTACAATACCGTGATATCTATTTGCAAGGAGGTTGGCAATTGGAGCGAAATAGAGAGGTTGTGGAGGAGTATGAAAGAAAATGAGTGTGCTCGAACGCTGGTTACGTATAGGTTGTTAGTTAGTAGTTTTGTACATTGTAACCAAAGTGAGCTAGCTCTTTATGCTTACCATGAAATGGTTCAAAACAGATTTGAACCAAACAGCAATATATTAAATTCGATTGTTTGTGTATGTGCTAAGGAAGGAAGGTGGGATGATGCATTGAGTTTCTTCCAGAAAATGTTGACGGGTGACTTCAAACCGAACTTAGTCGCTTGCAACGCGTTGATTAACTCACTTGGAAGAGCAGGGGAGCTCAAACGAGCATTTCAGGTCTACAATACAATGGATTCGTTGAGCCTAAAACCAGATGCGTATACATACAACGCTCTAATGAGTTCTCTTAACAAGGCCAATAAGCACGGCGAAGCTCTCCGGCTTTACAAGCAGATAGAAAGAAGTCAAATGCTTGAATTCAATAAACATTTATACAATACTGCTTTGGTGTCTTGCTCGAAGCTTAAATTGTGGGATAGAGCGGTTGAACTTCTGTGGCAAATGGAAGCTTCTGGACTGTCGGATTTGACAGTTTCGTATAACCTAGTGATCCGGACTTGCGAGCTTGCATCGAAGCCGAAAATTGCATGGCAGGTGTATGAGCACATGATTCACCAGAAGTGCAGTCCAAACATATTTACTTATCTTTCCTTAATAAGATGCTGCACTAGAGGAGATCTCTATAAAGAATTAGAAGAAATCTTAAATGTGGGTAAAGAAATCACTTTTTGAATTTCTTAGCAATATTGTCTGAATCTAGTTTGTCCGAGTAGGTTGATTCTTGACCCAACCTTTATTAGGGATAAGTTATTTTAACAGTTCAATCGCAGTTTCGTACCGGTTAAGGAGGTTGAATCATGCCTCAGAGGCCTCACTAGTTCGGGTTTTCAAACATTTTTCATCAAAATAATTTGTGAATTTTACACCTTTAGTTTATGAATTTCAATTAAATTTTGATTCTAGATTTCAAAATTATGTTTATTTGAATTGCATCAATTATGGATGAAGTCGCATGTTTTAACCAGTGTGATTGAAACTTTGAGAAATTCATCAAACCAAAATCTTTTAGTGAAACCATTCAATGCAAAAACCCAAACTATGTTATGTATTATGTGTACATGGATACTCCTGATCAAATTTGGCTTTTCAAATGAACCATAAATTTCGGTTAAAATTGTAGAATGACTTCTCCAACTCGCGTTCTGGTATCTGGCCTGAGATAAATATTTGACCTCCTTAATATATGTTCCTTTTGCAGAAGGTTGAGCCAAACATGGCTCTTTATAACGCCGCTGTTCAAGGGATGTGTTTACATGGCAAGCTTAACTTGGCAAATGAGGTTTACACAAAAATGCTAGACCACGGGCTAGAACCTGATGTCAAAACACAAGTACTAATGGATCCGAAGATGAGGAAATAATTTGTTGATTGCTATCGACTAACATAACAGAGTTTTGAAACATGATCAAAGGGAGGATGATGAATAATTCTTGTTAGAGTGCTAGGAAACGGAACAAACGCAAATGTTACTGTAAGTTTGTAACAACTGTATAGTGGAAAGAGTTACTGCTCTTTTTTCTCTCTTGCCAGTCTCTGTTGTGATAGTACATGGTTCAAGGTTCTAATAACAGGTAGACTTTGGTGGTCTGTGTTCTCGAGATATATACAGAGATTATCATTTCCACCCATTTTACTGCTTCATATTATTAGTCTTCTTTCAAGTACATTTTTCTATGATTTTTTTTTTGTTGGGAAACTAATTTCAATAAACTGCCACAAAAGTGCAACAGAAACAGACGCAAGGGCTGAAGGGATATCAAGCCAACTCGTAGAGCCAAAAAGCTTGCCCAAACCAACAAGGTTATGAGCATCACCAGTAAACACTATACTAAGATACATAAGAGAAGCAGACTCGAAACTACTTAACAACAATTGACAGTCATTGACTAAGTGGTCTAAAACAGCATGGAGTTGAGAGAGTTGATGCAATTCACCATGTAAGGCATCTATCTGATTTGATGAGAATTCTCTCAAACCTGAGATCCTTTGCCACCTGAAGACCCCATTTTTTCTATGATTTTACTGTAAAGATTATTCAAAATTTTGCTGTTTTCCATAATCACTATTACATTCAAAGAGTTATATTAAGAATTACATTCATTCAATAACATCACGGAGAATAATAATTTTTCAAAATCAAACGATAGATTGAAACTTACCATTAAAGTGGAATGTCCCGAGTGTGAACCCGCACCTTGCATTTGATGTTTTGTGAATTGACTTAGCGGAATTAAATATTTCGTTTTTATCAAAATTAATATTATCATGTAATTTCATATAACCTTAATTTTGATACATAAATTAATGAATAATATTTATACAATTTGTACTTTGATAATTTATTTGAAGTTTAAATATATTTTAATTTCTGTAAATCTATTAATTTTTGCTTTTAGTCTTGAAAAAAAAAACTTGCAAATGCTTGATTTTGTTTTTTATCCTTTGTTTTGTTTTAAATCTTGTAAAATATATTAATGCTATAACTGGTAACTGTAATATTCATTAAAACTCTTATTTTAAAAGATTAAAATTAAATATTTTCCGTATAGATCAATTTCAATTTTTTTATACAAAACTAAAACAAAATATTAAAAGTAAAAACTGGTATAAATACATGCATTAAGGCACAAGTATGCTACCTTTGACACCAAAAACTATATCCAATACTTATAACACCGTTTACCAAACAGTCTTTTTTAAGAAAATAATATTACTTTTTAAAAGAAAAATATTTTTAAAATAATATTTCTTATGTGAGAGTGATTATTATTGTCTACAAATAAAAAAAATATTAAATAATTAAACGAATATGAAAATTATTAAATCCGATCTCAAAAGAAGACCAGACCGGTTATAGATCCGGTTCGTCCGGTCTAGACCGGTTGTAATACATTTTAGAAGTCGACGTGTTAGAACAAAAGTTTCCACCATGTCAAAACACCATTGGGCCATTATACGTGTATTTCCTAACCCAATTTTAATTTTAATTTTCCCATTTTGTTTTTTCATCTCTCGTCAACAATAAATCAACCAAATCACAAACTCTTGACACAAAATCTTCATCCAAACGCGCAAGAGAGAAAATGGACGCCATTGATTCCGTCTTCGATCCACTCAGAGAATTCGCTAAGGATAGCGTTAGGCTCGTCAAGCGTTGCCACAAACCCGATCGCAAAGGTATAACCCTAAATTCTTCGTTTTTCTTTTGCTTGATTTTGCTTGATTTGAAGCTTTATGATGTAGATCTTGATTTTTCTTGTTTTTTATTTTTGGATTGTAGAATTCTCTAAGGTGGCTGTTCGTACCGCGATTGGTTTCGTTGTGATGGGATTCGTTGGCTTTTTCGTTAAGCTTATCTTTATCCCAATTAACAACATCATCGTCGGATCTGGTTAGGTATAATTAAATATTTGTTGTTAATTTTTTAAATTTAGTTATGATCTGTAGCACCGACCCCTCTTAAAAAAGTTAAGTTATGTCTGTGTCAATTTCGGTGTTTGAAACTGACGCCAACACTTGATTAGATTTAATTTATTCATTTTTTAAAATTAGTATCAATATCAATGTGTTAGTGTCGTGTTTTTGGTGTATGTGCTTCATAGGTTATGATATGGTTAGTGACTTTTTCTTCGTTGGTTGTGGTTTAAAATGTTTCTTTTGATTCTTCTAAATTGTGTTGCTTTTGGTGTTGAGTTTTTCTGAAGGATCACAAGTTCACAGTAAGTCAATGATAGAAGTGAATACTTGTTTTAAATTTTCTTTTGATGTTTTTGATCTACCATGCATCATTACTTGTGAGAAATTTTTGTATGATTATCAATGGGAAAGAAAGCTTGCGAGTCTCAATGGGACATAAAGCTTGGGACACTGCATGGATTTAGACTTTTAGTTTGTTCTTAGTTATCATTGATTGCTGGCTTTCTCTTCATGTGTCTTTTTGATTGGTTTAAATGGTATTGCTTTACATGTTGAATTCTGATAAATCATCACTCAATGATAGAAGTGATTTCTTTTTATAAAAATTCATCATCTTTCTTTTACTTGGTTTAAATGGTATTGCTTTTCATGTTGAATTCTACTAAATCATCACTAGTAGTCAATGAAAGAAGTGATTTCTTTTAAAAAAAAACCACTTCTGTTATTTTGAAATTACTGAAAATCCTTGATCAACTAACAATTCTGTCTCCGTCTACCAAAACAACCGGAAATGTTTCAAAAAAAGTAGGCATACGACGTACAAAAAGTTCACGCCCCTCTTTGTCTCTAAAGATAGGATGCCCTAACCAACCAACCGCTATTCCATCTTCATTGTCCATTGAGCCCGCTCTAAACAAACCTCCTTTTGCCGAATTATTACCGATGTAATCATAAAAAGCTAATTTTTCAGGAATTTTAGACCAAGCTTCTGTTAAACTTTGATTTTTGACTAGCCCAGCACCAACTCTTCGATATATTTCTTGCTGGAAGTATCCCTGATCCCATTGATGAGTAGGACCAAATAATTCAATCGGGGTAGTTGCTGAACCAGCAATACACTAGCTGTCTAGAGTAATCTTTTGTTGGCATTATAAGAACATGAAAAAAGCTTAATCGGATTGGCATGTGCAATTTTATTCATGATCAATTTACAAGCATGCTTAATGTGAGTAAGAATGAGGCTTTTTCTCTCACACCCGCATCGTTTGACAATCAATGCACACCAATTTCATATCAGTAATTTTCGACTAATAGAAAACATTTACATTTTGAACTGTTTGTTACCTAGGTCCTCAGGAGCCTAAGTAATGACTGCCTATTTCTGTATGTAATGAGAAAATCTGGTATTTGCCTTGGTCTGAAGCAACATGTCTCTAAGATGTTTTTGGAATTTAAATTTTCTATGAAGCTTTTCATTGATTGTTTAATTTTATTATGAATATGATGCTGTTTATCTCTATTTTTCCTGTTTTAGATCTTGTTTGATCTGCATATGCAAAGTTCTTTTGGTTTTTATTTACATTGAACGCCCAGAGTAATCACACTGCATAAATGATAAAAAATCTGTGTCTTGAGCAAACAAACCACTTTATCTTCAACGCACTTACTTTTAACCAAAATCAATTTGTGCAGAATCAATTTTTTTCAAAGCAGAATTAAACACACACCTAAGCAAGTTGTTAAATGAATGATGTAAATAACTCTTTTGGTTGTTTCTGCAGGATGAGGGAAACTGCAATCACCTCAGGATCAACTTCAATAGAACATCTTAGTTATGTTATTTTCAGTTTTGCTTTTATCCATAGTTCTTATCTTCGGAAGCATTACAGTTTTATCGAACATGTAAAATTTTATTGTCCCATGTGTTAGACTTTTGACCTATTGTTCAAGGAGGAAAAAATTTAGATGAGGAATTGTACATTGGTTTCATTATTTGCTGTTTGGTTTATTATATTGAAATATCAATTTAGTTTGGAAAATGATTTTTTTTAATTACATTATTATATTTGAGACAAATTATATATATATATATATATATATATATATATATATATATATATATATATATATATATATATATATATATATATATATATATATATATATATATATATATACCCAATTCATATATATATACCCAATTCAAAAAGTTGGATAATTTTACCTTGAGATAAAATGTTTTAAAAACAATAAACAATTGTACTATTTAATAAATATACAATTGTACTATTTAATAAATAAATATGTTACAATTAAATTTTATCATGATTGGTTGAAGGTACATTACCTATTGTATTTATTTGTCATGATATAAGTTTTACAAGTTCTAAATCAAGTATTGTGAAATTTTTATGAAATTAATTTGAATAAATTTTACATTTAATAAATAGTTAAAAAACATAACAAAAAAAATAAAATAAAAATAATTTGAATAAATTTTATAAAAAGTTCATTGACACAACTAAACAATCAATTTTAATTTTAAAAAATAAAATTAAATCATATATATATATATATATATATATATATATATATATATATATATATATATATATATATATATATATATATATATATATATATATATATATATATATATATATATATATATATATATATATATATATATATATATAGGTCATTTCTGATATATATATATATATAGGTCATTTCTATTTATTCTCTTGTAATTTTTTTCTTTTCAAAAACAACCTTGCTAATTTAAAATACTAACAATTTAGTCTCCCCGTATGTAAATATGTAGGTTTCCTGTGGATTTTCTTTTGAATTTATCTGTAAATTTTGATTTTAGGGACTAAATTATTAGTTTTTTGAAATGACAAGATTGTTTTTAGAAGAAAAATAAGTTTAGAAGGAGGAAAAGCAAGAGTCGTTTATATCACAAGGGGATAAAATGATAATAATCCTTTAAAAAATTAAATTAAATTATTAAAAATTTAAATTAATAATAATATTTTTTATATTTTAGTTATAATCTCATTTTCAAATAATTTAATTTAATAAACTAATACGAATTACTATTTTATTTATTTATTTATTTATTTATATTTAACTTTGATTTATATTTTATATAAATTTATAATTTATTTTCTTACTATATCTTTTTAACTAAAGAAAAAATAATATGATATAATATGATTAACCTTATTAATATATCATAGTATATATTTACGTATTTATAATATAAGAAAATTAGATGATGTGGAAAACTCTTCTATCCATTTTTCTAAATTTGCCACTTCACCAAAATGAGAAAATTTTAGTTTAAAAATTATTTTTTATAATTAATGATGCTACATTATTCAATTCCAACTACATGCTTATTGTATTATACTTTTTTTAAACCAAAAGAAGAGCAAGTATATTGAATGATAAAGAAAAAGAAACACATGGGGAAGACCAAACCAAAATCTCTTAAGAAATGATTCTAAGCCTTGGGGTACCAAGCTTGTCTAACGAAAATTCTTTGTCAATTTCACTATGCACAAAATTAAACCAATTGTTAGTTCTAGACATGAAACCAAATGGTGGCTAACGAATATGCACATCCATTAACTTCTCTAAAAATATGAGTAAAGAAAGATTGACATCAGTATTGAGACATGGAAAAGAAATTATTAACATCAGTATTGAGACTGGGGAAAGAAAAGACTAACATTAGTACTGAGACTGGAGATTGAAAAGATTGACATCAATACTGAGAGTGGGGAAAGAAATTTTTGGCATCAGTACTGAGAATGGGGATTGAAAAGATTGACATCAGTATTGAGATTGGGGAAATAAATGATTGACATCACTACCGAGATTGGGGATTGAAAAAATTAACATCAGTACTGAGACTGGGGATTGAAAAGATTGAAATCGATACTGAGACCGCGGATTGAAAATATTGACATCAGTACTGAGGCTGGGGAAAGAAAGAATTGACATCAGTACTGAGACTGGGGAAAGAAAGAATTGACATAAGTACTGAGTCTGAGAAAAGAAATGATTGACATCGGTACTGAAACTGGGGAAAAAATGGTTGTCATCAATACTAACACTGATGTGGTTGAACATGGGGTATTGTCTTTGTTTGGCAGCTAGGAGTACAAGGTATTTGCATCGTGGCTAGAGAAAGCTTTTGGGTAATGCAATGATAGATATCAGTTGGGATAATGGGGATGACATTCTCTTCAGAGATGTACCCTATTTTGATGAGGTTTGATTTGGGTCTTATGTACAAGATACCAAATTTGGCTTATGCTTCGTATGCATGTTTGAGTTTTTTCATGGCGTAATGATCCATTTCAATGGATATGCTACACGTTTGAGGATGCAATGTGATACATTGATGAATACTATATGCAGAGTGCCAAAGATAAACTTTGTGGGGAGAAAGAAATAGGCTCACTGAGGCCGTTGCTTGTTGTTTTGAGATGCCAATACGGATTGGTGCTGGAAATCTTGTAGTACCAAGGATCACTGGAAAGTTCACTGGAAATTGATTTGCTGACAAAACGGGTTTTGAAGATGTATAAATGAAGGTTAAGTTGTAGTCTTGCTGGGAGAAAGTGACTTGGTCTGACCTTCCCTACATTCTGGACTGCTTGGGGATGGTAGGATTGGACATGGACCTCTTCAGATTCCTCAATTTTGCTTCATTGGTGGGGAGTTGTGCGTTAAACATCACCTAGATCTCTTCGAATGCCCCAAGCTCGCTTCTCTGCTGGAGAATGGGTTACGGTCATCTGTGAGAATTATGTGTTGAACCACATATGGAACTCCTCGAATGCCCAAAGTTTGCTTCACGACTGGGGATTACACCTTGAACATTTGTAGAGGATGAGCACGACTCCACAACAGTGGCTAGGGCAAGGTGACCATCATGGCGCTTTCATCTTGATTTCTTTGACGGTTGTCTTGTATGACATAATTTGCTTGAGCAGCTTCCCGAGTATAGAGGAGGGATGTCCTTTCATAATATCTCTGAAAGAATCTGCGTTGAATAGACGACTGTGATATACATGCCATAATACGATACGAGGTGGCATGTCCTAATATCTTTGAGCCACAAAATATTCTGCCCCTGATTAACGGCTCCTTGGAGAGATTTGTCGAATCTCAACGTAACTGACCCAGGTTGGTCAAAGCTTGAAGAGATCTATCAACATGACTGCCCTAGATTGGTCAACTTTGAACGTATTCCCCTTCCCTGATGAAGACTTTACGTATTTTTCCCTTTTAGGGATTATTTGAAATGACTGGCTCTTGGAAGTGATCAAGTTTTTCAGCAGTTGTTCATCGTTTGATCTTCCTTGATGTCAAGTGTTTACTCGCAAGTAAAAGATGTTTATTTTGAGGATGATAATCCTAATACAGTTCTTATGTTAGCTTTGAAATCAAAGTAATTTAAACGATGTTGTGACATTCGGTGCTCGAATTATTAGTCATATCAACATCAACACAAATGATAAGCAAACATCTAGGAGTCAGTTTTACGCGCTTTGACTGTAGTATGATTTCGAAATAAACCCTCCTTCAATTAGGTATTTTATGGGTTGTAACATAATATGGTTCACGGTTTCAGAGAAAAGGATTTAAGGCTCAAAGTGTAACCTAACCCACCCATTCCCCATGACGTTCTTCAGTCATACGTTCAGTTATTTCAACATGAGTGTTCACCTTTCAAAAGGGTTTTGAAGTGTATGTGTGGTGGCTGAGGAACCAATGAGTTTTTTAGAAATGACAGTCGCTCGCCTTTTTGTTTTGTTTATAGTCACACAAATTTTTTCTTGCTTGATGATTTTTCTTTTTGTGATCCTTACTTTCCATTTTTCGTTCTTTGTTCTTTTTTGCTTTCCCTAATTTTTCCCCAGACTGATTCTTTTGAATTGGTAGTCCAACGGGATGCCCTAATTTTTGACTAAGTCATTTATTTCCAAGTTGTCAACTTATATGACTTTCTTTCTTTTTCTTTTTTTCTTGAACAAATCGTGTGACATTTGTTCGTTTTTACTTGTTGAAAGGGTTGTGACTGCCTCATTCCTTGGTCGGTGAGGGATAACCATTGTGGTTTTGCATTTTTGACCTCTTAACATGTGAGGGATGAGATGTGGTTGATTCTCAGATGGAGACACTTCTTTTTCTTTTGAAATTTGAACACACGGTTAAATTAACTGAAGACTACCCCGCCCCTGGTTAAGATTGAGGGTTTTTTTTGTATAGAAAAGAAACTCCTACATCAAGGCTCAAAGGGGTTGACGAGGGTTTATCTTCCTTATATCTCTGGTGTTTGGGTATTTGAAACAATGCCTTACATCATCAGCAGGGTTTTATTCATAAAGCGTACAACTAGTGATTTTGCGTATTTTTGTTTTCATCATTCTCCTTTCGATTTATTTTTGCTTAAACTAGAGTTTGATATCGATAGACAGGAAAATAAGTGAGTGAACACAAATGAATTGATTCAAAACAAGCATATGTAATGTATTATTATTATCATTAAAAAACAAACGAGTAGCATTCAACAAGCAAGGAAAATTACTAATGAAAATGCAGAAATGAACTAATGATTGCCAGTGCTGAGGAGGCTCTCTCAGACTTGACTTATTGCTTCAAAAGGTGATTTTGTAGTCTTGGTGCTCACTCGGGCAAGGGATTACTCAACATATTCGGGTTGATGGGCGTGAACGAGATTTTTTTTAATCGATGAGGTCCTGGACTTTGTGCTTCAGAATGTTACAATTTTCAGTTGAGTGTCTAGGTGCCCCAGAGTGGTACTCATATCTTGCATTCACCTCATACCCCAGAGGAATATGTGTTAGGGGAGGCCTAGGTTACCTTAGTCGGACCAATGTGTCTTTGAG